CTCCCTCCTCGAATGAGGGAGTAGTCTCATCCTTCTTCCGGTAGCAAAGTTCAATGCATCTTTTGTTCCAATAAGAAGCTAGCCTACAGGGCCGTACCCCGAGGGCAAGGTGATCGGAGGAGATTGAATGGGGATACCTTAAAATTATACCAATAAAAAAAAAAAAGTATACATTACGTGGTTCATATTAAATTGTAAAAAGTGAAAATCATTATATAAATTTTCAAAAATATATGTGCTATTGATTGAATTAGTCCTTGTTAGAATCTAATTTGACCTATAATTTATGGGCAGTTTTGACTTTTGATGCATCAAATTATTGTTTACAGGGTCGACAAAGTAGCCAACTCAACTCAGGACACGGTACTCTAATGTACCCAAAAAAAATAGCACCAACCGAGGAAACATGTCTTTAGCTTAGTTTGGGATTTATTAAGGCATATCAAAAGCATTGGTTTAAGTGGAATATATTTGATGTTGTTTAAGCAAAAATTTGAATTCAAATGTTTGTGAATGCAAAAGTTTCGTTTAAGGCATTACGTCATCGAAAGCATAGTATGCTGACTATTTGCCATTTGGGATTATTTTATGTACATTTTTTAATAATATTACTCACACACGTAACCTTACGCTTATATCATATCATATTCTTTACAATTTTGAATAACAAATAAAAAAAACTTAATTAAGATTTTCATCATTGATTTCAGTTTATATAAGGAATAAAATATTTTTATGAATTTAAAACCCATCACACAATGCACATCATTGAAGTCTGGATATATTATGATCACTAATCCGGCTAGGTTCATGATGTTATATCCCAATCTCAAATATCTAAAATACTACTGTCGCAATCAATCATTTATGTATCCCTCCAATAAAATTCAATCATCGGCGGACTTGTATTGGAGCAAGTGTGTGCAAGTGTATACACAAATTTTTGAAAATATATATATATATTTTGAGTCCTCAACAAAAATTAAAATTACAAGGCCCAATTTAATTTCTTAGAAGAAAAAAGTCGACTCTCGTTTCCTCTTAATTTCAAAATAGACTCATTTAGCCAAAATCGTGATTTTTCTTAAATTCAAAGAAGATCTACATTAGTCCCTCAAAAAGACTAACATGAGTCTATTTTGAAATTCATAGAGATCACGAGTCAATTTTTTTTTAAGAGATTAAATTGGGTCCCGTGATTTTTGTTGAGGACCCAAAAGATACTTTTTTTTTGGTAACTTGGCCCAAAAGGTACTTTAATTTTGTAGCAAATTTTTCCAATTTTGACACATGGCATTTTTGGTTCTGACGTGACATATTTAGCTATACTGTGTAGTGTAGCGAATTATTTACACACATATTTTGATACACAGTGTAGCGAAATATGCCACGTGGCATTTTGGCAAAATTTACTATTGGCATGGCAGTTTGGTAAATTTTTTTGCCAATAGTGGCAAAATGCTCACTGTTCCTTTTAAAGGCGTGAGTTGCGTTTAGGTTACGCTTTTTTCAGGCGTGTGAGTGGTCACATCTTGTTTAGGTGTGAGTGTCTCGTGGGTCACGCCCAACTTATGCGTGAATGGTCATATGTCCAATCAGTACGTGACACACTGCAATACACGCGTAAATAATTTTAAAACAATAAATTCATAATTTTTTATTTAAATTAATTTTTTTTAATTTTTTTTTTGCCTTATTAGGATCAAATTTGAGAATCTCTTCTATATTCCCATATTCAGAGTACACCTAGGGGGTGTTTGTTTCAAGAGTTTTGGTTTGTTTCCCATCAAAGTGATTCCTACTTAATAAGTTGTCCATGTTTGGTTCGCTAATCTTATTAAATTTACCCATCAGTATCAGTTGCCCAGCTTTTGAATTTGCATGTTAAAAAGCAAAAAACCACTGTTCCAGAAAGCAAGTTTGAAGGTGGTATTTGTGTGAAAAATCGGAGAAGTTAATAAAGTGACACAATTACCCTTTACAATTGGTCCTACATAGTTATTTTTAAAAGGATAATTTTGTAATTTGATTAAGTTTTCCCATCAATATTTTATCTTCAACCAAACACACATTCAAGAATTTCTCTCAATTTTTCTAATAAATTTTTAACCAACCAAACAACTTTTTTTACATTTTTCTACCAAACTCACTTTCCAACCATTTCCCTATCAATTACATTTCTCTAGTATTCAAAAAATTTCTCCTCAACCAAACGCCCACAGGCTTTTATGTTAGATGTCATGATCTGAGTGCAAGGAATAGAGTCAGAAGATGTGAAAGTTCCTAGGTTGTAGTTGAACTCACTAATGATGCTACACCAAGTACCAATTTAATTATAAAGAGGAAATAGTTATATATATATATATATATATATATATATATATATATATATATATATGATCAACTTACACAAGTATAATAATAAATGTTGATTTTCGTGCATCTAACGATTAATATTTATAGAGTAATAATAATCATTTAATATGACCCAATAAATTATAATTGTTAGATGCACGAAAATTAACAGGTAAGATTTAGTGTAAGACTTCTTATTTTTACACCAATATGAGAATAACCTATCTCTATGTGTGTGTGTGTATATATATATATAGGCAGGATCCTTTGACATCAAATTTCAACCATTTTCGTGAATGTAACAATTATAATTTAATAGGTCATACTTATTAATTAATTATTAATTTTTTAATAAATTATAACTTTTAGATTGACAAAAATTAATGGTTGAGATTTGATATCAAATTTTTTTGTTTGACACCGATTTTAAAGGATCATGTCTCACACACATATATGTGTGAGTGAGTGTGAAAGACATGATTATATATATATATATATATATATGGGGCATGATATTCTTACACCGGTGTAAGAGTTAAAAGTCTTACACTCAATCTTGACCATTGATTCACTTATATTTCATGGCTCACATTACTAAAAAATTTGAGCCCTTAGATATAAGTGAGATTAACGGACAAGATTAAAAGTGTAACTTACACTGGTGTAAAATGATCTTAACCCTATATATATATATATATATATATATATATATATATATATATATATATTCCGTAGTTCATATTAAATTGTAAAAGGTGAAAATCATTATATAACATTTGAAAATTTATATGCTATTGATTAAATTAGATCATGTTAGAATCTAATTTAACCTATAATTTATGGGTAGTTTTGACTCTTGATGCATCAAATTATTGTTTAATGGGTTCCGTTTACAGGGTCTTTTGGCTAGTTTGAGACTTATTATTTTATTAAGGGCATTATCTGCACGTACACGTATCTTGCTTAATCCGTGAGATAATCTTATGAAGTATTTGTATGTTTACTGAGTCAGCGCACATTCTTGTTTATAATTAATAGATTTAAACTTGTATTTTGTGTATTCTTGTGTTATAAAAGACAAAATTTTAAATGTAACTGTAATAGAATTTTTTTTTATTTGAATATAATTTATTAAAAAAAAGTGGTACATATATAATTATTAAATTTACTTTGTATTATTCTCCATCATGAGAGGAGAACATTCAAATTTATAATTAATTATAAAAAAAAATCCACTTTCAATACCGTAGTTTTATAGATGGGTTTTACCATTGACCCATCTGAGAAGAAAAGATACTCCGTTTGTGTAGACATTGGAATGTGAAGAATGCTTTTGGGATCGGAAAAAGAAGTTGACGACTGCTCCAGTGCTGATTCTTCCTGATCCTGCAGGTGAGTTTGAGTTGTACTGCGATTAGGGGTGTTAAACGAACCAGGGATCTTCGGCTCAGCCCGTGAAGGCCTGAACTTACAAGTCTAAAATTGGTTATTGTAACCAGACTTGGACTTGTATAAAAGCTCGTTTAATAAAAAAGTCTCAGGCTCCAATTCAAAAGCTCGATTTTAGAACCACTCAGACTGATCTAGTATATTAACTTTATTTTTATTTTATATTTTTTATACTACTCGTAATAGCCTCATCTCTCTCCTCAATACATTTCATCCCATTTTATTAATTAAAAAGACTTTTAGAATTAATTTGCACTATATTATAATGTTTGGATATACATTATATTTATGAATCTTCATGAAATTATTAGTTCTGTTGATCATATATTTTGTTTGGATAAATTTTTATTGTCCTATTTTCATTAACAGGCTAAACCAAGATTTTATTTTTCAGAAATAAGTCATGCCATATTACGTAAATCTTTGTGGCCTGACTTAGATAATTAGAACATTCTTCTAAAACATCATTCCTTACAAATTCGTAAATCTCTCGTCAATTTGAGTAACTTGACATCAGGCTTTAATGGGTAAAGAATTTCTCCGGTCGTCACTAAAGATAAAGTTATCTCCAGTGAGCTCAAAACGATATCGTTTTAGAACAGAAATCAAAGTATTTTTGTAATTATAATATATTACAGGATTATATTAATCCGATTCAAATTTTTAGAACCCGTTCAGATGAACTTCCTAAAATGTACATTTTATATCTTGTTTATTTTAAAAGTGTTTTTTTTTAATTAAGACTATTTAGATTTTTTTAAAAATATTTAACTTTTGTTTGTTTTTTTCAAAAACTAAAATTTTTAACTTCTAAAAAAAGTAAATTTTTGATCTTTTTTATGACTTCCGTTTTTTTAAAAGCATATGTCCAAACAGATTTTTTCTACACAATATTTTTTTCTTAAAAAAAAATAGCTTTTGAAGAGAATTTTTTTTATCCAAACAGGTCCTTAAAACGTTTGCAAGGGGACTACGATAGACGTGGACCAAAAGAGAAACCATGTACAAAACAAAATCACCACTATTGCTCCTTGTTGAGAGCCCAGTGATCGACAAAGCTTCAGCACTAAGATAGCGAGGTAGCATCATTTATAAATTACTAAGATTGAGTTAATGATGAAGAACATTTTTTGACGTCATTAATAATGAAGAGTCTAAGTAATTTGTAATAAGTCATAAATTTAATCATGGGTCACAAGAGATATCAACTTTTTTGTAGTACGGAAGTCCATGTTTTTATGATATTTCAACAATATTCTAAATCAGCAATCCAACAGTGTTTTTATGATATTTCTACATAATGTTGTAATGAATTCATTTTACATTCTACAGATAAAGGTGTAGGTAGATAAAACCTGGTCACCAATCACGACCCAGCAAAGAAGAATTCATGAGCTTCGCAATATCGTTCAAAGACAACGTTAAAGAGGGGATGGATAGGTTCTAAGAGGTTGGAGTAGGGGCCCAAAACTACATTAGGCAGTGGTGGAGAATCTGGGCGCTTTGACCAGCTATACTGGCACAATGAGAGCCCACTTAAACAGTAACATGTGTGATAGTGATCTCTACGTTTACCAGGTTTGTCTCTCAGTCCCCCGTCTTGCTCCTGCATCAAGCACAGAACAATGATTGACCCAAAATAATATAAAAAAAGCAGACAGCCATGATAATGAACTCTTTCTTGATTTTGTCAACTGATTCAACTGATGTTTGGATTCTGTCACAGTTAACAGTTTCAGAAATTTAAAATCTCTACCTCTCATCCATCTGTATTTTTGCAGAATATAATGTCATATGCATCAAAACCTAAAATGTTCAAATTCTTGGATAAGATGCAATCAGATAAAGATGAATTTTCATTTCAGGCTTACTAGGAATTAACAAGGCATCTTAAGAGAGAAATTACAAATACAAGGATAAAGAGAGACACGAAACCAATAGATAAAATGCAGACCTGTGAACATAAAAGAATATATTGCTGTAAGGCAATGCTGTGAAAAAGTGGTTCTCTTGCTCTCCACTTATTGATAAAGTCATAACCGATATTTTTAAAATCACCTGAACAGGATTCACTGATGTCTGCCATAAGTAGAATTTGAAGTGTCAAACTCATGAGAAATGAAATTAGCAAGACATGTAGTATATCATGGTAGTAGGAATTTTTAAAACACGTTGTATTTCAAAGTCAACTTACCTTCATCCCTAAAATGGTGAGTCGCATTACCAGAGGTTCCATCCAAACTTACTTTTTCTTCAGATACATCGGATGTCGTAAAAATATCTGAGGCCTCTTCCATTTGTTTGTCGACAGTAGTAGAATATAATCTTTGCAATAGTGCAACAGCACCTCCCTGATTACTTTCAACTCAAGTTTCAATCCAACTATATCACAAAGAAGACTGACAAGGAAAATATAAAATTCAAATCACCTGCCAAAAGGAGTAGCATCCATCAACCAATTTATTCGTTCTCCCCTGGAATCCACACTCCTTCCCTTGCCGGAATACCACCCACTCCTAATGCAAGGCTTTAGATTATTATATCCTTCATATAACATAAAGTATGGGCAACTTCAAAAGAAGTTCCTATGATTAATTGGAAGCCAGTAGAAAAGGAACAATTCTCTTACAACTAAACGAGGCAGATCCAAGCGATTAACCTCACCAATCAGAATCATTGCAGCTAATCCACAAAAGGTGTATCTGATAAACAAATATTCAAATCTAAGACTTTTCATACCTCCTTTTGTTTTAAACATCATATCATTGCAAAGAGATATAATGAATGTGTGTGAGAGAGTTTTTGATGATACATACCCCCCATGAGCCTCAGAACCAGGCTCTCCAGCAATGCCACCCTCATAAGTTTGACAGCTGCAGAGAAACACCATAGCGTATGAAACATGTTACATACCAACTACACAGCATGCAATTCATTATTTCATTTTTGAGTAGTTCACTGAATTGATGCTAACACCAAGAAACCCAAAGTTCTACAAAGCCATCAAAAAGCTGGAACAATTATTAGCCAACTAAACATGGTCTAATACAAAAATAGCCAAAAGCATTTCAAAGCACCAAAACAGAACGGAGTGAATTCAGTACCCCAACAAAACATACTACCAACATTGTGGCTATCAGGACTTTCAGGTATTACCAGTGGCAGAACTAGAAGGTCCCATTTAAGACCAGAAACAGTTAATGAATTGATCATAAAACAGTTTGCTTTGATGCCAAAACCACTTCAGATCTCCCAAAAAATTAAAATGAAAAGTATTCAGTACCTCAACATGTCATACTAACCACATTGTAAATAATGTGGCATTCAATTATTACCAGTGGCTACAATTAAAGAACCCATATGAATCGCACATAGTTAATGAAGAGATAATAAAACAGTTTGCTTTAATGTCAGGATATTTTGATTGCTAGCAAGTTGATCTTATGGAAAACCAATCAACAATCTAAGCAGTAAAACAATAAAAATGTGTTTTAAGCTGTTGAAGTTTCTATTCTAAACATTGCTCTTCAAATTGTACACATACTGTCAAATTCAGTGCCAATATTAAAATTACTGCTTCTTGAAACTGACCTTGAAATGTAATCTCCAACATTCTGGATCAGCTCATTATCTAAAATGTTCAAAACACTTGCAACCTGGTTACAACAAGATTCGCTATGTCATGCAATAGATACATTTTCATACCTTCAGTAGCATAAAAAGTCCCCCTCCCACAATGAAGATAATAGAGGATAACAGTAAAAAGGTCTTAGTTAGCCAACAGCTTTAACCGTCCTGGCATTCATAATTAGTAATACGCTATCTGAGCCATGTCTACTTCAATGGACCATTCTAATAAGAATTATGCATGACAATGATCCACAAAGTGCAATGCCTGATCAAGTATGCATATCTACACAATCATGTGTGAAACGAAGACAGCTACAGAGCTAACCAACACTTACAGAAATGGCAGTGTAGCAAGCTCGAACATCAATTTCTCCTTCAACATGCATCCTGAATGAAGTATTTGATGATTGAAAAAATAAAGAATGAATTAAAAAAGATGATTTCCCAAATCAATTCTGAATGTATCAACGAGGGCAATAATTAGCATTAAGAAATGCTTTTAACACATAACTTGAAGTCACACAATTCAGACTTGTGCAGGTTGGCACATTTTAATTTCTGCACAACTGCCTCCACGAACACAAGCAAATCAAAATCTGTCACCGCTCTAAGGTGTGAATGATGTGTGTGCAAGCAGAATGCAAATAGATGGATTCGTAAGGATTGTCACATCGAAGTTATCTACTATTTATAAAATTCAATGAATCCCATCAAATACAATTAAAAAAATGGATATACAGCATCGATCTGATTTCTTATTGTCAATTGAAGCCACAGAGATGAATAAGATATCAAACCTGAATCCCCCGTTTGGTTGTTTCATCCGCCTCAGAAACCCATACAATTTATCTCTGAGAATAATATATTCAAAGTACCAACCAATCAATTCCAAATGTATGAAAACCAACTCTACCACATAAATACAACATAATATAGTAAAAGCTTGCTTTGAAGAGAGAATAAACTGACCACCTATTGATTGATGCCAAAGATTTCTGACCACCCAAAGTAATCAGTGTATTGACTGCAGCATAAGTTGTGGCAAGATGAGGCATCTGTGGAAGATTTCAATGATATTAATCATTATAGTTTTTGAACATTAAAAGAATAAAAAGGAAAGACATAAAACTTAAATTTCAATATGTGTTACACTCCTTCAAAGACTACAGTTACAGCAAAAAGAAAGTCAACCTAAAAAATACAAGGCATATAACTTACATTAAAAAAAAAAGAAAAAAAAGAATTACATTAAAAGGCATTACTTGACTAGATTTCAATCAATATAATTTAAAAAAGGATATAAATATGGCCTAAACATATTGAACCGAATCAGTTCTAACTCAAACACTACAGCCTTCTTAAGCCACACAATTGAACGATGCTGTATTACCTCTCTTTAGTCTACATAAAAGCAGCAGCCATATATTATACATAACTACGGAAGCGTATTTTACTTCAAAACTAACCACAGTATTAGTTAGTTTTGTATTCATATACATAAAGAGTTGGCAGCAAGAGACAACAAATTGCAGTTTTAAAGAGAGAGAAACAAGCTACAAAAGAAATTCAACAAAATCAGAATAGTTGCTTGCCTGGCCTGGACCCCCAGCATATCCACCATTTGGATCCTGTTGGCATACAAAGAACAAGGGATTTATCAATGGATAGAAATGGGATAAGAAGAAAAAAGTGGGCAGCCAAGAAATCCTGCCTTAAAACACAACAGCTAAAGGATCAGCTATGCCATGTTTGGCACGCTTGATCAAAATCAGCACATAGCAAAAACCAAAAAGTCCAAACTTAAATCTGGGTTACTTCTTTCCAGCTATAAGTATAAGTATATCCATTGGAGCATGCAATGAAATAGGTTGATACTAGGAGAGGCAGCATAACATAACAATATTTATTGCATACTTCAAGCTCAACTACCTAGTTTCAAGGTATTTATTGTTCTGGGAAATGAATTTCTTACCCTGTCATTTTTCTGTTTTTTAGCTTTTTTTCATTATGTCACTAATTGTTTTGGTATAAACCATCCGGTAACCAGTCCAACGCGAGCCGGCTAATCCGGATTCGGGCCGGGTCGGACCACAGGGGTTATAAAACTCTTTCTACCAAATTTTAACACAGCTCAAACTCGAGACCACTAGTTAAGCCGGAACAACTCCCATCCAGTTGATCCACGTGCTTAGGGGTCATTATGTCACTAATTTACCCCCCCAAAAAAAGAAGAAATAAGTAATGCAATGAGATTTAGAAACAGAATTGGAAACCTGGCAACGGTTAAGAAAATCAACGGTGTCATCTTGGAGTTCGTCATCGACAGATTCTCCTAACAGTGCAATAGAGTGGAGTATCCAGTAGCAGAGCCAGGGACGACTACATAACCAACAACATCTAATTTAAAACCAATAATATAAATCGTAAGAAAATGCAGGAAAAGGAGATGAGAATCTGAATGTTGTTTATTGATTCAAAAAACTAATAATATGATACAGAGTATAACTACTTATAACATATAACAGAACTGAATGATATCAGGAAGCTACTCCTAACTAACTCAACAGAATCAGTTGGATTCCGGTACAGGGAGTTGCTAAGCTCCCCTGACTGTCACTAAAATTGCGTAACAACAAAGGGAGAGAGAGAGAGAGAGAGAGACTTGGCATCCAAGACGGTGAAGGCGGAACCGAGATGACGGAGACCTTTGGAAAGGAACTCAATGTGTTTATCGCGTTGCAGCTCCAACCTACGAAGTGAAGAAAAATCGAATCAGAAAAACGATATAAGAAAATTTGAGAATGAAGGAGTGAGAGTGAGAGTGAGACGGACATGACGGATTGGGCGTTGGGAGGAATGGTGGCGAAGAGTTGGTAAATCTGGAAAACATGTGATTCCACCATCCATTGATCTCGCTGACTCACCGTCGGACTCGGTGGCGCCGCCGTCGGCGCCGACGACGAAGGATCCATCTCTCTCTGTGCCAGCGTGAGGTGAGTGATAGTATTCAAATTGAAAAAGTGTTTCCTTCTTCACGTGTGGCCTGGCCAGAAACTGCGAGAAGCAACGCTCTTTTTTTTTTTTTTTTTTTTTTTTTTTTGCGCACCAGGCCTGTAACCATTTACAAATTATCCAAGCCCATCCATTTAGATTTTTTTTTTTTTTTTGATTTTTGACTGAAAAAGTGATTATAAGCTTTTTCTGATTTTGAATCATAAGTACTTAAAACTTTTTTAGATTAGATAAATAAATTTCCTCTTCATATTTTCAAAATTTTAAGGCGGATTATTTTATTTATATGAACTTCACTTAGTCTATTATTAAATAATGTGTTAGGAAAGATATGATCCTACGTGTATACTCTGTAGTTACTGACTCATTCTTATCCTTTATATTTATTAGATAAGATAGTTTATCCTTTGTATTTATTCCAATCTCGGTTGTATATCTCTTGTATCAAATCCTTTTAGTTAAACACTATTGCTAATAATATCATATCAAGGTTTTGATACCATAATTTTATCTCAATGTAAGATTTATTGCACTTGAATATTCTAACATCAATTAACTAAAATTGTCATAACATATAATATAAGTTTATAACATCATATCTTATATATCATACCAAACAAACCTGTAATCATCAATAAACAAATCAAATATGATAATTTTATAATTTTTTATTTTAATATTTTTTTTCTCTTTTTTTTATCATCGTTAATTAAATTTTTTTCCATGACATAATCATAGTAAATATCGGGAAATATTTTTCTTATATTATTGAAGATGAATTATCTTATGTTAGTGAAACAAAATTATAAAAGAAGTTCACAAATAATTAGAAAAAAAAAATATAGGTGTGATCCACTTTTATTGTATATGCGTAAAAATTTGATTTATATAACCCTTAAATATAACAAGGAGAACAGCGAGTCACCCGTATAATAATTGTGTTCAAGTTGTAATAGATGAAGATAATGGAATAATAGATGATTGACGTCAGGGAATTGTAACCGGATATTATTATATTAAAAAACACAAAAAAAAATAAAGGAAAGTGGAGATTGCATAATTAAAGCTCAATAAAAGTGAACTAAATAATTACGAAAGCTACAAAGGCAGTAACCCGGACAGACGAAAAGGTGAAGGCTGCTACTTAATCCCTAGGTATACCGAGTCATCTCTACAACTATTCTGACTGCTTAACTATCATTCTATTCCCTATATAAACCTCACTCTCCTCTCTACTTCAATTCATCTCACTCTTTTTCCTTTCTATTATTATTACTAATCTTCCAATTCTCAGTTTAATTTCGTGAGATAATGATCGCCATGAAACGCGCTGCTTCCTCTGCCGTTCGTTCTTTGCTCACTTCTTCTTTGATCTCTTCTTCCACCTTCACCAGGAACATTCATGTAAGCCCAATCTCTGTTCCCTCTAACCTATGAATTATGTGTTAATTCTTTTTTTCTTTCTTTTTTTCCTTTTCTTCTTCAATTCAGCAACCACCCATCAACTCTAAACTGAGATCTTGTATCTGACAAGTTTGATTTTGAAAGAATCAAATAAAAAAAAATTGTGTTTATAAATAGGTAAAATCATTTCTTCAGTAAGTGGTAGAAATTAAAAAGATTGAGTTCTCCGTCATGTTTTTTTCTCTCTCATGTTTTCTACGTGGCAGACAAATAATTTTTGCAGCTGCGTTAACCCTAAACCTTATAAATAATGTGTTAAAACAAAATTAGTATAAAGTATGAACACATGTGTCTACATACTTTTACTAAAACAAAATTATTATAAAGTATGAACATATAAGGTATGGTTTTATTTAAAAAATTCCGCTTACTAAACGCGTGTGACATGACATGGTTATTATCATTATAAAATAAGACTAAGATTTACAGGATCCTTTCCCACCATCTAATGTCACATGCTGCAATCATGATTTTCCGGTGAAACAGGCACCGAAGTTGTTGTTGTTTGTCCTTTTTCGCATGTGTGATTCCCGGGATGCTAGCGTCTGTGTGCCACTCTCTCTATGTGCGTTTGTGATTCACACTACCATACTTTTACATCTCAAGTACACGTGGTTCAGACTAACTCATGTCGCATTGGAATAATCAAAATTATCCGTTTCCACAGTGGATCCTCTCAAGTGAAAAAAGTAGTCATGGTCATGTTATTTGATCAATGATGAGATAAGAGAAAAAAAAGTATATAATTTTTAAATGAATGGTTGTGATCAAATAACATGACCACTTTTCTATACGAGGATCCATTCCCTTCCGTTTCCCTGTTTATATGTTTTTCTTTTCATAGAAATTAAATTGAACTGTTGTCGACGGTGTCTTTTTTCTTTTAATGGTTTTGGGCCGTCGTTAGGCAAGCCCAGCCCAGTTTTCATGACAACAGATTAAGATATAAATGTGGTAATTAAGTTATACAATTAATCAAACGGAATAATCAGTTTGCAAAATTCTTTTATAAATTTTTACAAATTATATTATGTATTCTCGAAAATATATTATTAATCGAGTGTATTTTTAAGAATACACAATATAATTTATGAGAGTTTGTAAACAAAAAATTTATGTTATACAATTAGTTAATAATTAACACAATTTAACTTTTCTTATTGAGAATAGGCCTCTGGTGGAAAGAAGAAGATTGTGGGGGTGTTCTACAAAGGCAATGAGTATGCTTCCCTGAATCCCAATTTCGTTGGATGTGTTGAAGGAGCTTTGGGTATACGTGAGTGGCTCGAATCACAGGGTCATCAGTACATTGTCACTGATGACAAAGAAGGACCCGGTTGTGGTTAGTATTTAGCCAAATTAATTCATCTTTATATATTAAATTTGATCACTTTCTAGTTTAATCTTTTAGTTTATTTTTCAGTGAGGCATGATATTCTTACATCTCTATAAGATTAAGAAGTCTTACACTCACCAAATCTTAGTCATTGATTTACTTGCATATAACGATTTATATATCTAATAAATCAGAACTGTATCTTAGTCATTGATTTGTTTATATATAACGGCTTATATGTCTAATAAATCAAAATCGTTAAATATAAATAGGATTAACGAGACGGGGGTAACTTATGTCGGTGTAAAATAATTCTGACCTTTTTTATAAATATCATTTTTAACTTTTATTCTTTTATTCTTTTAAATTTTAAATTCAAATTCTTTTGAATTAATTAAACGTATTGCTAGTTAAGTAGTCACTACTATACTTTTTATCAATATATATCACAACAATACATGCAAGTAAGCAACCAAGCTTCAAATCATATAATTGTGAATGCATCAGTCAGTGATAGAGAAGATTATGTGTGTTCAAGATTGTTAATTTCTTTTGACATATACTGAACTTTCTGCTTCAAGTTTATGATTGCTTGAACTTATTGCTATTATTTGTTGTCATAATGCCAGAACTTGAGAAACACATTCCTGATCTCCATGTCCTGATATCTACACCATTTCACCCGGCCTATGTCACCGCGGAAAGGATAAAGAAAGCTAAAAATTTAGAACTGCTTTTGACTGCTGGCATTGGTTCTGATCACATTGATCTTAATGCTGCTGCTGCTGCTGGTTTAACTGTGGCAGAGGTCACAGGAAGCAATGTGGTATCGGTTGCAGAGGATGAACTGATGAGAATCCTCATTCTAATGAGGAATTTCTTGCCTGGATACAAGCAGGCTATTAGTGGAGAATGGAATGTTGCTGGCATTGCATATAGAGCTTATGATCTTGAAGGAAAGACAATTGGAACTATTGGTGCAGGAAGAATTGGGAAGCTTTTACTCCAAAGGTTGAAACCCTTTAACTGTAATCTTCTGTATCATGATCGCCTTAAGATGGATCCAGAATTGGAGAAACAAATTGGAGCTAAGTTTGAGGAGGACCTTGATGCAATGCTTCCAAAGTGTGATGTAATTGTTATGAATACCCCTCTCACTGACCAGACAAGGTATGATTTCATACCAATCCAATAAAATAATGAGTAAGGATTCGTTTATAAACTTTTATTTTACAAATTACACTAAGTATGACCAATCATACTCTTGATTGAAGTATGACCAGTCAGACATAGTGTAGTTTGTAAACAAAAAGTTTGTAAATATAACTTTCTCCTAATTTTAAAACATGAAATCTTAAGTCATTTATAAGTTTCAAAATTTTTATGGGCAATGCATGATCACATGGAATTCATAGCTAATCCAATATAGAAAGAAGTGACCAAGTATTTTGTTTGAATGATGTACATGGATATTCCACGCATTTTGTTTTACTAGTGAGACAACATGGGAGATTATACATGAATATTTGAATTCTTTGATCATTTCCCAGTTATGAGTAGTGACCAAAGTTTTTTTATGATTCAGAGGATTTTTTGACAAAAATAGAATTGCCAAGTGCAAGAAAGGTGTCTTGATTGTTAACAATGCTCGAGGAGCACTTATGGACACCCAAGCAGTTGCAGATGCTTGCTCTAGTGGGCACATTGCAGGTAATTCTAAAATCAGCTGATAAAAATTTGTGTGTTTCCAACAACACAAGAGATTATTGTTGAAGTAATGTAACAACTTTCATACTAAGTTGTTTACAAGTGAAAGAGATTTATGTCATTCCTCTCCTTTGCTAATTTCTTTCATTACCCTTTGGAATCTCTTGTTTCTCTATAGGTTACAGTGGTGATGTTTGGTTCCCACAACCAGCTCCAAAGGATCATCCATGGCGCCATATGCCAAACCATGCCATGACTCCTCATGTTTCTGGAACCACCATAGATGGACAGGTAATTTAAGCGTCTAGACATGAACTTGTCTTTTTTTGTGTCTAAGTTCTTTCACTTCATTTGCTATGTTCTTGATGGAAAACTAATAATAATAATAATAAATGAAACTTATTCAGCTACGTTATGCTGCTGGGGTCAAAGATATGCTTGAGAGGCACTTTAAGGGTGAAGACTTTCCTGAACAAAACTACATTGTCAAGGAGGGTCAACTTGCAAGCCAGTATCGGTGAAGAATGTATCGGGTGTTTATAAATCCTTCCAATGTTAAGGTCATTGGATGACCACATAAAAATCAGGAAGGAACTCATAATGTACTTGCTTTGTTGAATTTGAACTCGTTTATTTGATGTTGGAAATAAAACTGAAATGAACACCACAGTCTACTAGTATGGTCCTTGTGTTTTTGGAATTTGAATGAACTGCTTGTAATGCAAGTAAAATAAATTTTAACATGAGATTGAACTTGAGGAATGGAAGTAAATTATGAAGAACTCACCATCTTTGTCCTAAATTATGTTGGTACATTGACCTTCAATCATGGGCATATCTCTCTATATAATTATGATAAATGAAGTTATTATTGCTCAACTCAAAAATGGCTAAATTTTATTGAAGGGGCGAAATTATAATGTATAAAAAAATTAGGTATATGATAAAAAAAATTAAAAATAATATTCATTCCTATATGTTTATATAACGTCTGCCCCGCTCTACCAATGTTGAGTCGAACAAAAGACACCAAACTGAGTTACTGTATGTTGGATTGTCATAGCAAGACATTGTATAAAATGGCCTAACAGTACCAACGAAGGATATATAGCTCTATGTCATATATACCTGTAAATAAAATTACATTTTTTTTAACAGATTAAAAAATTTAAGTGAGGTTAGACATCGAAGTCATCGTTAACTACAAGACATTCATATTGTAAATTCCTATTATCCTATAAATATATATTATTTTATATTTTATTATGTGATAGGATGGTAGGAATATTAACCACCTAATACATAATTATTATTCATCGCTATTGGCTTGCTAGTTGACCAAAATCCTCCCTCTTCCTCGTAAGATAATTATCCCTGAAAAATTAAATCCTCTGTTAGAAGTTACCTTCATTCCTCTGTTAGCAAATATGTCAATCCCTCCAAATTCGCCTTGTAGAGGGTGTTCGTCAAGTTTTACACAGCCTGTGAGTCAAGAAGATGTAGAAGCAGCTCAAAATATGGTGAGAATATTTTGAAAATCACCAAATATGTGGTTTCACTTAAAATCACATTGTGTCGTTGACAAGCATTTATATATATATATATATATATATATATATATATGGACCAGGATCATCTTACACCGGTGTAAGAATAATAAGTCTTACACCAGATCTTAACCGTTAATTTACGTGCATCTAATGGTTAAGATTTATTGTGCCTCATTAATTAATCAATCATTAATTCCCATTAAATTTTAACCGTTAGATGCACGGAAATCAACGGTTAAGATCTGGTTACGCCGGTGTAAATTGATCCTATCCCTATATATACTTATGGGAAGTGTTATATTTACAAACTCTTATAAACTAAACTATGTACTCCCAGAAGTACACTCGATTAGTAATATACTTCCGGAAGTATATAGTGTAATTTGTAAAAATTTGTAAAAATCATATATTATATAAATATTTATATATATATATATATGTATATGTGGGAAAAACATTTCTCGAGTTGCTTGAGACAATGTTATCTCTGGCCACCCCAAAACTACGTCGTTTTGTTTATTTATTTCCTTATATTAATTGATTACCTTTGAATGGTTATGATTCCTTTTTTCTCTCTCTTCCTTTATCACCATTAATCCATCTTTGTACGGTTATGATTTAGTTGCCGGAGATAACATTGCCTCAAGCAGCTTGTTGAGTTTTCTTATTTCTTGGGTTATGTAAGCTTGTGTCTTGGTGCATGTGAGTTTTCTTATTTCTTGGGTATCCAAGGAAGGAGGCATGGTTGGGAATGGAATTTGTGCATTAGTCCTTGATGGGGTTATGTAATTCTTAGCTTATGTCTTTGTGCATGTGAGTTTTCTTTTTCTCTCGGGGGTATCCAACGAAGGAGTCAAGCTTGGTAATGGAATTTGTGCATCAGTCCTTGAATGAGACTTCCAAGTTTTGTGATAAATTTGACGTACCCCAGTATCTATATATAATTATCCCTTAAAAATTTGACGTACCTTCTTAATTTCCTCTGTTAGCAAAGATGTCAATCCCTCCAAATTCGCCGTGTAGAGGGTGTTCATCAAGTTTTGCACAGCCTGTGAGTCAAAAAGATGTAGAAGAAGCTCAAAATATGGTGAAAAATGTTCACCGCGTTAATTGTATTGAACGAAATCCACCTTTGGCTAACATCGTATATAGAACAGGCGAACATAACTCTGATGTTAAGCGTTGCTGTTTCCGTTGGAGCATAAAGCCTTATGACGAGATCTTTCAAAATGGATTCAGAGCAAGAGCTCAAGAAGACACTTCACCCAACAACACTTACTACGATTTGTATGACTATGTCCACAATGCTGATGCGCCTATTCTTGATCCAAATAAGCCACCAAGAAGGCATGCCTTCGTTAGCACCACTATTGATGTTGGTTGGCGTCCTGATCCTAACCACTATACCCTCCTTCCAATTCCAACCAGTGGAAATACGGTACATTATCCCTCCTCCAAAGAAGAGAAAAATTGGAAAAAATATCTCTTCTTTTGTAAAAAAAAAGATATACCCAGAGACAGGGACAGAGTACATGATGTGATGGACACAAGAAAAGTTCAAACAGAGGGGCAGATTCAAATCTATCGTTACGAGGTGTATGCTCCCGGTGGCATTTGGGTTTCTTCGACACTTGGCAATGTATACAGGTACGCTGATCAACACCAAGTTTGCTTTGTTGGCGGCATTGCACCTCAATACATTCGCTCTGCCCAATTATTCACTGCCACACGCCCAGCTGGAGCAAGGTCTGTCTGTGTAGCTTTTTTAACTGTGCTATAGTCAATTTTATATTTAATAATTTCAAATTATTTGTTACGAAAGATATTAGTTATTAGTGAAATTAATATTTAAGATATATATATATATATATATATATATATATGAGAAAAATATTTCTCCGGCAACTTGAGATAAGTTTATCTCCGACCACTCAAAATTACGTCGTTTTGTTTATTTATTTTCTTATATTAATTGATTCACTTTTGAATGGTTATGATTCCCTTTTGCTCTCTCTTCCTTTATCACCGTTGATCCATCTTTGTACGGTTATGATTTAGTAGCCGAAGATAAAATTATCTCAAGCAACTTGAGAAATGATAATCCCTATATATATATATATATATATATATATATATATATATATATATATGGCAAAATGATTTGTAATGTGACTGCATATAAGCATTTGTGTTGTCACTTAAAAACTACGTCGTTTTGGGTGAGAATAAAGAAGTTCGCGTTCAAAATTAATTATAGAAAAATGAAACATTATATTTATTTTCATCTTTGTATGGTTATGATTCTCCATATTTAATGTTTTATATTTATTTCTACTTTTGTATGATTATGTTTTTTCAAATTTAATGCTTTCATACTATAAAACGACGTAGTTTTGTATGACTGCACCAATCCTTAAGTGCTACATCCGCTAAACCATATATATATATATATATATATATATAACTTAAAAAATACTACTCTCATTTTACCTTTTCTACGAGGTAGTTATCTCATATTCTCCCACCTAAAAAATCTCACCTCTTTTTTTTTTTCTTTCCCTTTTAATAGTGGACCTCACCTAGCTTCTTCCTATAACATCATAGTTGTATTCCCCAATCACATAAAACTTTACTTTTGACATGTTAAAGTTTAGTTATTTGCAAGATAAAATAAATTAAGGGACCCAAATAATAAATAATATATGACTAATATATATAAATTAATTTGAAGTTAGCTTTTAAATGGGCAGGCATGCGACAATCCGTAGGGAAGGTACCGCATTAATAATCAACAGGCATTTCGATCCACTGTCGGATCCGGATACGGAGCTCCTAATTCAGAACCCATTATTATATTACTGCGATGATGGTATTCATCGGCCACTATCCCTTCAAACTTTTACAGCTGCTGCGAATATGAAACGGGAAAGACAAGTCTCGAATCACAACTGGGATGCTTTGCAAAAGTGGTATGTTGATGATGTTCCAAATGTTCCTAGTTATATAAATGCTGCGTTCCCTTCATCTAAGACAAATGAAGCCTATATATTCATGAAAAATGAGTACGTGCGGTTGAATTACGTGAATGACTGGATTGTGAATGGGCCACTTCTTATTTGTGATGGGTTTCCATCGCTAATTGGTACTTCATTCGGAGAGCATGGAATAGACTGTGCGTTTGACACTGACAACAATGAAGCATTCATCTTCTCTTCTAATCTTTGTGCCTATATTGACTATGCTCCAGGAACCAAAGATGACAAAATACTCTCAGGCACTTTCTCATCAAAACTATTTTACCAATATTTCAACAGAAAGAATATTTTACCAAAATGAGGTCGTATTGAATTTAGTGCAGATAACTTATATGTAGTAACAGTAATAAACCCATATTTCAAACACTTTTAAGTTTTTATTATTTTTTTACATTAAGATTTTATATTTTATGATTTTTTAATCTCTTTTTTATTTTATTTAAAATTCCGATTTTAACGAGATTGCTCTCTCAGGTCCTACCACAATCACTGCCATGTTTCCCTCATTAAAAAATACGGTTTTTGAAAATGGCATAGATGCGGCATTCAGGTCTACTCTTGAAAACGAAGCTTACTTGTTCAGAGGCGACCAATACGCTCAAATAAACTATAATTCCAAGCATGTCATTGCCATGGGTAATATCTCTGGTGGGTTTTATGGTTTGATGGGAACCATCTTTGCAAGTGGAATTGATGCTGCTTTCGCCGTGCACTGGAAGGATGAAGCGTACATTTTCAAAGGAGAGTACTATGCACGTTTCAATTTTGCACCTGCAGGGACAACTAGTAACCACATTCCCTCAGGAGTGAAGCCAATCCTTCCAAATTGGCCATCTCTTAGTAGCATATTGCCTATCAAGAATGGTGGGCTTGATGATCATCACCATCGTGAACAAGTTCCCTGGAATCCAGGCCATGATGAACTTTAAAAATAATAGTGTTGATTGGTATCATAAGAATAAAAACTTCCGTTTGTTGACGGTTGCTTTGCTCCTCAATGTAACATATATGGTTTTTATAAGAGTTATGTTGTAGGAAAAGTGATTCTGTAATGTTATAGAGATTCGTTTTGCGTGCCGTAATTTATTTTTTTTCTTTTTTCTTCAAAAAGTGTGGGCTTCACAAAATATTGTGTGTAGGAAAGTTTGTTTTGTAATGTTAAATGACAAATGCAAATCCCAACATATATATATTTATGTGGCTGTTTCTTTTATATTTCTCAATGTAATATGCATGTTTAAGAATAACAGTGAATGGTTTAGTTGAGTAAAGTGTTCAAATTTAAATATAGTTAATATTATGTATTTAATAGTTAATATTTAGTATTAATAAATTCATTAATTACTGTATACAAAAAAAATTCATTAATTAACTCATCAATACCAAAGCAATTTCAAGATCCAGATAAATTTTTTTAAAAATTATACATACATCAACAAAGCTCAGCACAGTCAATAGATAGTTGGATCCTTTAAGCATGCTGACAGAGGTTCAATCCTTGATTGTGTGTAGGGGTGCTAAACAAACCAGGGGCCTTTCAGGGGCCTTTGGCTCGGCTCGTGAAGGCCTGAGCTTACATGTCTAAAATTGGTTGTTGGCACAGGTTTGGACTTTTATAAAAGCTCGTTTAATAAAAAGGCTTCAGGCTCCAATTCAAAAGTTCGGCCTTAAAGCCTCTCAGGCTGGCCTAGTATATTATTTTTTATTTATATTTTATATTTTTTATACTACTTGTAATGGCCATCTCTTTCTCCTCAATCCATTTCACTCTATTTTATTGGTTAAGCAGACTTTTTGAATGACTTTGTTCTATATTATGCTGTTTGGATATAAATTGAATTTATGAATATTTATGGAATTACTAGGTTTTTGTTATCTTATTTTTTTTAAACAGGCTAAACAAGGATGTTATTTTTTATAAATAAGCCAGGCCGCAGGCCGATAGTTATATTTATAACAGGTAACAGGCTTGGTCAGGCTGACACATTTAAACACAGGCTTACCCTTTTAAGACCAAAGCTCGGCTCGGCTCGGCCCGTTAACACCCCTAATTGTGTGTATAGAAAATGCTTTGTTGGGAAAGGCTATACGTACCCACGTTTGCGTGATCTCTTCGCCTCGAGGGGATTAATACTTGACTTTCAAACGTTAAAATGATTTATATTATTCAAGTCATTTTCATTTTTATATATATATATAATAAATAATTAATTATTATAGATAACCGTTAGATGGACAGAAATCAACGGTTGAGATGAAGAGTAAGAGTTGTAAGTCTTACTCTAGAGTCTAAAGATCCCTCCTATATATATATATATATAATAATTAAAACTAATAAAGTCATTAATTATTTTACGAGTTCCAATAAAATTCACAAATAGTGATCAAAATAAAAAGGCAACAAATCTTATGCCCGTAATTTTTAAACTTTATTTATCATACTAAATATTATGCCCGTAATAGTTAATATTTAATATTAGTCAAGTCATTAATTACCTCATTATCTCCAATGCATTTTGAAGTTCTAGATAAAACTTTTTTAAAATTAAAAATACACTCAGAATTTATTATGAATCATTTTATGTTAATATTTATAAATTTCAATGATAAACTAAAGTTAACTCTTTTCCATTTTCCTTTTTACCAAAAAAAAAAAAACTCTTTTCCATTTTAATCATATATACAATATAATAATGGTAGTGAAATAATATAAAACATTTACCATTTTGTCAATTGATCATGTAATTTATTAAAATACCAATTATTAATTTTTATTACTTTCAATATTAGTCAAGTATATATAATAATAACAAGTGTTAACCTTAATTTCAAACGTTAAAATGATTTATATTAGTCAAGTCATTTTCATTTATATATATATATATATATATATATATATATATATATATTTACAATAATTAAAATTAATAAAGTCATTAATTTTTTTACGAATTCCAATACAATTCACAAATAGTGATCAAAAATAAAAAGGCAACAAATCTTATGCCCGTAATTTTTAAACTTTATTTATCATACTAAAAATTAAGCCCATAATAGTTAATATTTAATATTAGTCAAGTCATTAATGACCTCATTATCTCCAATGCATTTTGAAGTTCTAGATAAAACTTTTTGAAAATTAAAAATACACTCAGAATTTATTATGAATCATTTTATGTTAATATTTATAAATTTCAATGATAAACTAAAGTTAACTCTTTTCCATTTTAATTATATATACAATATAATAATGGTAGTGAAATAGTATAAAACATTTACCATTTTGTCAATTGATCATGTAATTTATTAAAATATCAATTATTAATTTTTATTATTTTCAATATTAGTCAAGTATATATAATAATAACAAGTGTTAACCTTAATTTCAAACAAAAAAATGATTTATATTAGTGAAGTCATTTTCATTTATATATATATATATATATATATATATATATAATAATTAAAATTAATAAAGTCATTAATTATTTTACGAATTCCAATACAATTCACAAATAGTGATCAAAATAAAAAGGCAACAAATCTTATGCCCGTAATTTTTAAACTTTATTTATCATACTAAATATTATGCCCATAATAGTTAATATTTAATATTAGTCAAGTCATTAATTACCTCATTATCTCCAATGCATTTTGATGTTCTAGATAAATTCTTTTTAGAAAATTAAGAATACACTCAGAATTTATTATGAATTATTTTATGTTAATATTTATAAATTTCAATGATAAACTAAAGTTAACTATTTTCCATTTTAATTCTATATACAATATAAAAATGGTAGTGAAAAATATAAAACATTTACCATTTTGTCAATTGATCATGTAATTTATTAAAATATCAATTATTAATTTTTATTATTTTCAATATTAGTCAAGTATATATAATAATAACAAGTGTTAACCTTAATTTCAAACAATAAAATGATTTATATTATTAGTCAAGTCATTTTCATTTTTATATATATATACAATAATTAAAATTAATAAAGTCATTAATTATTTTACGAATTCCAATAAAATTCACAAATAGTGATCAAAATAAAAAGGCAACAAATCTTATGCCCGTAATTTTTAAACTTTATTTATCATACTAAATATTATGCCCATAATAGTTAATATTTAATATTAGTCAAGTCATTAATTACCTCATTATCTCCAATGCATTTTGAAGTTCTAGATAAAACTTTTTTAAAATTAAAAATACACTCAGAATTTATTATGAATCATTTTATGTTAATATTTATAAATTTCAATGATAAACTAAAGTTAACTACTTTCCATTTTAATTCTATATACAATATAATAATAGTAGTTAAATAATATAAAAAATTTACCATTTTGTCAATTGATAATGTAATTTATTAAAATATCAATTATTAATTTTTATTATTTTCAATATTAGTCAAGTATATATAATAATAACAAGTGTTAACCTTAATTTCAAACGTTAAAATGATTTATATGATTACTAATTAGAATCATTAAGAGCACTAGGGGTGATAATAAGCCCAGGGGCCTATCAGGGGCCTTAGGCCCGACCCGGCCCGTTTTGGCTCGGCCCGGCTCGTTTTTTATTATTATTAAGCCCAGACTTATACCTATGCAAAAGCCTTTTTATTTAAAAGGCCTCAGGCTTCCATAGCCAAGCCCGACCTTGAAGCCTTGGAGGCTGGCCCGTATACATTAAATTTATTTATTTTTTATATTTTTATATTAATCATTTCAACATCATTTTCTCAGTTTTCTGTCTTTGCTCTATCTCTTCTCCCCGATCTAAGTCATCGTCCCACCAACAGGTAAATGAAGTCATGTTCATCATCTATTTTTATAAGCCATGCAGATTCCACGGCTTATAATGATGCTTATGGCGGCGACCGTGGAAGAAAATTTAATGTAAAATGTGGAAGAAAATTTATTGGTGGGGTTCAAATCTAGTGTAAAAAATCTAGAATATTAAGAAATGTGAAAGAAAATTTAATGTAAAAAATCTAGAATGTGGAAGAAAATTAAGGAAAAAACAACGTAAAATAAAGTAAATGTGCTGTTGTTATTTTGATTTTTTAATATTAATATTTTTTTATTAATAAAGAAACAACTATTATTTTCTTACAAAAAAATACATATCAGTTCATGATTAATGGGCTAAATACTGCTACAAATTGGAAGGTAATATTTTTATTTTTAATAAATAAACAGGCCACAGGCTTGAGACATGCTTTTATTTTTGTAAACGAATCAGGCCACAGGTTAATATTATATTCGTAACAGGTAACAGGCTAAGGCCAGTCTGACACGTTTAAATACAGGCTTGGCCCATTAAGATCAAAGCTCGGCTCGGCTCGGCCCGTTAACACCCCTAAAGAGCACCATGAAGCTTGAATATAAAATTCATTATTCTTATAATTATTTAAGTTGAACTTCTTCTTTATTTATATAAAAAAATAGATAATAATTAATATTTAATATTAATAAAGTCATTAATTACCTTCCAATTTTCCAATGCAATTAAATAATAGTGATCAAAATGAAATGGCAATATTCATAATATCTTTTTTTTCTATATAAAAAAAAAACCTCCCTATTCTGTCTACTTTTGTGCTCTATATAAAGCTCATTCTACTCTACTGTTCTACATACTTCAATTCACTCCTTATATTAAAACATTTTTTTACTTTCAATCTTCGGTTTAGGTGATAATGGCAATGAAACGCGCTGCTTCCTCTGAGGTTCGTTCCCTGCTTTCACCTTCTTCCATATCAACCACAATACTCTGTTCTACATACAATATATCACACCTCGCATAGCAAAGTACATGTGTTTTAGTTCACCACAGTCACATAGGAGTCATCAAATTCATCTGTTTTTATTAAGAATTCACTAATGTTTAGTTTTATATGACCAAGATATATGTTAGCGAATATTTGCACAGATTCTTATTTTAAAGTCATGACTTTTGAAATTTTAGTTTATTTTAAATTATTTTTTACCTCAAAATTCTACAAAACATTAACTATATATTTTTTATTTTCATCCTTATCTTTTGATATATTCACGAAATTAAATCAAAGGTGTTAATAAAAGGAGAGAGTGATAAAATCATACGAATTTATTTTTTTTATAAAATATTTCATAAATTTCTTAATCTTTATGTATAAAGTACCAATTTTTTAAAAATAACCACCAAAAAAAAAATATTTCAAAATATTCAATTATTATTAATATTTCTATGATTGATGATAGGCCATGGATGGAGGGAAGAAGATTGTGGGGGTGTTCTACAAAGGCAATGAGTATGCTTCCCTGAATCCCAATTTTGTGGGATGTGCTGAATCAGCATTGGGTATACGTGAGTGGCTTGAATCACAGGGTCATCAATACATTGTCACTGATGACAAAGAAGGACTTGATTCTGGTTAGCATTTAGCCAAATTAATCTGTAACTATATATTAAATTTAAATGTACTTTGTATTGTAATTTATTCTCTTTCAATAACATGTCAATTTTCAGAGCAATTTTCTCTTAATATTATTTTTCTTATCAACATGTAACACAATACATATTACATGCAATTAAGCAACCAAGCTTCAAAGCATGCAATTGTGAATGCATATAAAGATTATGATACTTATATTATATATCGAATTTTCTCCTTTTAAGATTATGATTGCTATTTGTAAAAAATTAATTCAACCCAAAAACTTAAGCAGTTGGATAAGGACATTTTTAATGGTTTATATTATTCTTTGACACACACCCTCACGCAAAATTTTTTTGAACTTGAAGCATGGACATTGCACAAGCCTGTTTTTTAATTTACTTCGTGATTTACTTAATTCCATTAGAAAATGGGACGGTAAGGATTGAATTCATAACCTTATAATTACTATTACTGAAGCTTTGATACATGTAAAGAAACTTAAGCTGTTGTGTGAAAACTGTTGTGTGAGGGCCTTTTAAGTTTTAATGATTATATTATTCTTTAACACTATTTGTTGTTCCTTTGGCAGAACTTGAGAAACACATTGATGATCTTCATGTCCTCATATCTACACCATTTCACCCTGCCTATGTCACTGCGGAAAGAATAAAAAAAGCTAAAAATTTAGAGCTTCTTTTGACTGCTGGCGTTGGTTCTGATCACATTGATCTTAAGGCTGCTGCTGCTGCTGGTTTAACTGTGGCAGAGGTCACAGGAAGCAATGTAGTGTCTGTTGCTGAAGATGAACTCATGAGAATCCTCATTCTAGTGAGGAATTTCTTGCCCGGGTACCATCAGGCTAGTACTGGAGAATGGAATGTTGCTGAGGTTGCACATAGAGCTTATGATCTTGTTGAAGGAAAGACTGTTGGAACTGTTGGTGCTGGACGTATTGGGAGGCTTTTACTCCAAAGGTTGAAACCCTTTAACTGTAACCTTCTATATCATGATAGAGTTAAGATGGAAGCTGAATTGGAGGAGCAAATTGGAGCTAAGTTTGAGGAGGACCTTGATGCAATGCTTCCAAAGTGTGATGTAATTGTTATCAATACCCCTCTCACTGACCAGACAAGGTACAACTTAATGCCAATCCAATGAAAGAATTTTTAAAACTTGAAATTTTAGCCATTTATAATTTTTATGGGCAATGCATTATCACATGGAATTCATAGCTAATCCAATGTAGAAATGACTAAATATTTTGCTTGAATGATGTACATAACATGTATATTCTAAGCATTTTGTTGGTGGGACAATTCTTTGATCATTTTTCAATAATGAGTAGTAACCAAAGTTTTTTATGATTCAGGGGATTGTTTGACAAAAATAGAATTGCCAAGTGCAAGAAGGGTGTCTTGATTGTTAACAATGCTCGTGGGGCAATTATGGATACCCAAGCTGTTGCTGATGCTTGCTCTAGTGGGCACATAGCAGGTAATTCTAAAATCAGCTGATAAAAATTTGTGTGTTTCCAACAACACAAGAGATTATTGTTGAAGTAATGTGACAACTTTCATACTAAGTTGTTTAGAGGTGAAAGAGATTTATGTCATTCCTCTCCTTTGCTAATTTCTTTCATCACCATTTGGAATCTCTTGTTTCTCTATAGGTTACAGTGGTGATGTTTGGTTCCCACAACCAGCTCCAAAGGATCATCCATGGCGCTATATGCCAAACCATGCCATGACTCCTCATGTTTTTGGTACCACCATAGATGCACAGGTAATTTAAGTTTTCTAGACATGAACTTGTCTTTTTTGTGTCCAAATTCTTTCACTTCATTTGCCATGTTCTTGATGGAATACTAACAGAGATTAGTGTTTCATATGTTATAGGAGATAAAATTATCTCCTACATACACATAAAAAAGTATATGAGGTGTATATTTTTTTTCTCTCTTTTATTATTATATGACCCCACACATAGGCCTTACACATTTTTATGTGTGTGTAGGAGATAAAATTATCTTCTACAACATAAGAAATATTAATCTCATACTGATAATAATGAATGAAACTTATTCAGCTACGTTATGCTGCTGGGGTCAAAGATATGCTTGAGAGGCACTTTAAGGGTGAAGACTTTCCAGAACAAAACTACATTGTCAAGGAGGGTCAAATAGCAAGCCAATACCGTTGAATGAAGGTGTATTGATGAGGCGTTCGAATTTTCCTGCTTTGACGGATGAACAAATAAAGGGGTGTGTGTGTATGTGTGATTATTCACATATACACACCCCAAATAAAATAATGTACTTGCTTTGTTGAGTTTGAACTCGTTTAATTGATTTCAGAAATGAAATTGTAATGAACGCCCTAGTCTTCAATTATAGTTCCTTTGTGTTTTTCGAATTTGAATGTGCTACTCAAAGTTACTCAAAATTGAGATTTTACCTAAAATCGAAAAAGGAATAAAAATCGTAAATCGTAAAATCGTAATACAAATCGTAGATTTTACCTGCACTCTAAAATTAAATTTTTATATACATATGCTTATGTATAAAAAAAATTAAGAAAAATAGACTACATGCCACCATCCTTATACATTTGCATATAATTGTCACACTCTAAGGGTCTAAGCTAATAAATCATTCAAGTTATTATCATCAAAGACATTCTGTTTCACGTGATCTTCAACTACATCATTCAAAATTGTCTTCATTTAAACTTTCATCATGAGATAAAGTTCCTTCATTTTCCACAATTCATTCATCTTCGGATGAAACATCAGCAATGTTATATTCAACAATTTTTCTAACTTGCTTAACATCATTCCAATAGTTAAAATCGAGATTTAAATCTTAAAATCGGGACTTAAGTAAATGTCTAAATCGAGATTTTATATTGAAAATGATTTTAAGTTAAATCTAAATCGTTTTAGGAAAAATAAATCGTTAAAATCAAAATTTTAAGATTTATATCCAGATTTTTACTACCATGGTGCTACTTGTGTTGTAATGGGAGAAAATTAATACAAATGATTATTATTAAGAAATTTAAAATTGACGAAAAAAAGCAAATTATGTCGACCAGACCAACCATATGGTTTCATAAAAATATACATTTTTCCTCTAAATTTGAAAAATACATAATACGTTCAAAATTTTTTTTTTTTGGAATAAATAATACGTTCAATTTAAAAAGAGTAAATTACATTTCGCATCTCGATATTTGTTAAAAGGATAACAAACTCCAAATTCCAAACTTGATTAAAAGTTGCATTTCATTCTATTTAGAGTAAACACCCTTTTTAGTCCCTGGCAATATCTACGAAGTCTTTTTCAGTCCCTGACAATAAAAAAGGACCAAATTGGTCCCTGAAAGTACAAGAAAAGTGCTACTATACATATTTGAGAGTTGACATAAGGACTAACATGGCCCCTTTTTTTGTAATTTCAGGGACCAATTTGGTCCTTTTTTATTGCCAGGGACTAAAAAAGACTTCGTAGATATTGACAAGGACTAAAAAAGGTGTTTACTCTTCTATTTATTTATTTTTTGACTCACTACTGACTTAACATCGTTAAGTATTTAAAAAAATTATTTATTATTATTTGTTACATACTTATATAACTAGATTAAAATATTTAAGTAAATTACACTCCTGAGGTTTGTCAAATTCAAAACTTATAAAAAATTACACTCTATTTCTTTCTTTTATCTTTCACTACCTACTGACTTAATACAGTTAAGTATTTTCAATTAATAACAATAGCTTTTTAATGATGTTAATTTTTTATATTACTTATATTTAATTTCTTTTAACAATTAATGTTTTATCAATATAAATTAAAAATACACAATATCAAAGATTAGATTTTTTTTAAATAATTAACGGTAGTAAGAAAATAATTAGTTATATATAAAATAAGAAGGAGATTACTCTTACCATCTCTTTTTTCTTACCTCTTACAATTGCTTCATTATTTTTAGATCAAAATCAAATGAATAGTTATAAAATAACATCAAATGAGAGAGTTATTGATTTGGTTTTGATCCAAAAGAACAAAATAATTGTAAGGAAAAAAAACTTATAAGTATAATTAACTTCTGGGATGTAGTGTAATTTTTAATAAGTTTTCTGCTGTCATTTTAACAAACTTTGGGATAGTGAAGTGTAATGTACTTAAAAAGAAAAAAGAAAAAGATCAATCAGAGATCTTTGTCAGCACATTTTCACTGATGACCAAGAAGGACTGGATTGTGGTTAGAATTATATTTAACCACATTCTAATACCTCAAAGAATTAGAACTAAAAATGAAAAAATGAAAATAAAATCAGTAAAGATGCTTTGGAATAACAATACATTGTCAAGGAAGGCCAACTAGCAAACCAATTTGGGTGAAGCAAAATGTATTAGGCTTTTTAATTTTCCATTGTCAAATGTCAAGATCATTGGTTGATCACATAAAAATCAGGAAGGCACACTAAAATAATTAATAAATGTACTGACATTGAAGAGTTTGAACTTCTTTAGTTGATTTTGGAAATAAAAAATGTAATTTCATTCAATCCATTGTGTTAAAAATCATAGGCTTCACAATAGTTAAGTCTCACTATTTTGTCTAAGGAACTTAAGGTCTTTCATTTGCATTTCCACAGCTTCTTTTGATAGGGGCTTGGCCTCTGTAACATAATCATCGTTAACTCCTTCTGCTACTTTCTCTGCCTTGTCTTTCACAAGGCGCTTGATCTCTTATGGCTTAACTGATGGAAAAACAGCACTAAACATTGAACTCAACAATCTCTCATCTTCTTCCTCTATAGGGTCTTTTCCAAAGCAACACACATAGATAGCATCAAGAGCCTTCTCAACTCGAGTCTCCATTGGAATTGCAGGAGGTGCAGCATTTATCTTTGCCCGTCTCTACACGTTGATGATCTTCATGTCCTCATATCTACACCATTTCACCCTGCCTATGTCACTGCGGAAAGAATAAAAAAAGCTAAAAATTTAGAGCTTCTTTTGACTGCTGGCGTTGGTTCTGATCACATTGATCTAAAGGCTGCTGCTGCTGCTGGTTTAACTGTGGCAGAGGTCACAGGAAGCAATGTAGTGTCTGTTGCTGAAGATGAACTCATGAGAATCCTCATTCTAGTGAGGAATTTCTTGCCCGCGTACCATCAGGCTAAAACTGGAGAATGGAATGTTGCTGAGGTTGCACATAGAGCTTATGATCTTGAAGGAAAGACTGTTGGAACTGTTGGTGCTGGACGTATTGGGAGGCTTTTACTCCAAAGGTTGAAACCCTTTAACTGTAACCTTCTATATCATGATAGAGTTAAGATGGAAGCTGAATTGGAGGAGCAAATTGGAGCTAAGTTTGAGGAGGACCTTGATGCAATGCTTCCAAAGTGTGATGTAATTGTTATCAATACCCCTCTCACTGACCAGCCAAGGTACAACTTAATGCCAATCCAATGAAAGAATTTTTAAAACTTGAAATTTTAGCCATTTATAATTTTTATGGGCAATGCATGATCACATGGAATTCATAGCTAATCCAATGTAGAAATGACTAAATATTTTGTTTGAATGATGTACATAACATGTATATTCTAAGCATTTTGTTGATGGGACAATTCTTTGATCATTTTTCAATAATGAGTAGTAACCAAAGTTTTTTATGATTCAGGGGATTGTTTGACAAAAATAGAATTGCCAAGTGCAAGAAGGGTGTCTTGATTGTTAACAATGCTCGTGGGGCAATTATGGATACCCAAGCTGTTGCTGATGCTTGCTCTAGTGGGCACATAGCAGGTAATTCTAAAATCAGCTGATAAAAATTTGTGTGTTTCCAACAACACAAGAGATTATTGTTGAAGTAATGTGACAACTTTCATACTAAGTTGTTTAGAGGTGAAAGAGATTTATGTCATTCCTCTCCTTTGCTAATTTCTTTCATCACCATTTTGAATCTCTTGTTTCTATAGGTTAGTTATATGGATAAAACAGAAACCAATTGGAAAAAAACAACTTCATAATCAAGAGATATTGGTCTACTACTTCCGAAAGCAACTTCATGAAGCCAAAGCTAGTGATAAAAATAATTTGAAATCAGATCATGGTCAGACATTAAAGGATGTTGTTGATGCAAAACATGCATCCAAGAAAGTCAAAGAGGTGCAGACTCCATCTGCAGAATCAAAGAGGCAGTAAGGTTGTTTGAGATGGATCAGGAACTCTTTCTGATGCTGAAAAGAACAAAGAAGGTTTTCAAAAAAAAAAAAAGATCAAAGAAAAAGTGGTATGTAATATATACTGATGAACCCTTAGTTCATCATGGTTTTTAGCAGGAATTAGGATCAAATTGTGTGATTAAATGATGAAAAACAAGGTTAATGTCCTAAGATGTCCTAAATTACAAGTTCAAGAGCTTTATTGGAAATTTGTATGATTCTTGTAGGAAAAGCAAGCTTGAAAGACAACTGGAGAAGGAAGAAGATTCTGGAGCTCAAGAGGAGAAAAATTGCCTAAGTGTTGAGCGCTAAAACGTCCACACTGAGCGTTTTAGCGCCCTGTTACAGGAAGAGGCCAAAACTTGCTGGTGTTGAGCGCTAAAACGTCCACACTGAGCGTTTTAGCGCCCTGTTACAGAAAGAGGCCAAAACTTGCTGGTGATGAGCGCTAAAACGTCCACACAGAGCGTTTTAGCGCGCTGCTACACTAAGAAGATGGAAAATTGCTGGTCTTGGGCGCTAAAACGGCCTGCAATATGCGTTTTAGCGCCCTAAAGTGGAAAAAGATTCTGGTCTTCACCGCTAAAACGTCCAAATCAAACGTTTTAGCGTTGGAGTCAGTTAAAGTTAGTTGAGCATTCCCAAGTTTGGACGCTAAAACGGTCATTCCTTAACGTTTTAGCGTTGAAATCAGTTAAAAGCAGTTGAGCATACGTAAAGCATGGACGCTAAAACGGCCACTTATGGACGTTTTAGCGCCCACATCAGTTTTCTGTTTTTAATTGTAACACTATATAAGGCAAAGCCTTGACACTTAGAGAAAATCTTGGGGATCTGAACTCTTTCTCTCTCTTAAACTTAGTCTGACTTCTCTCTAAATTCTCTTAGTTTTTGTATTAGGATTTCCTTGTAATAGTTTGGAGATTGAAGACTCTCAACATGGAAATGAAGTTTGTTTCTTCTTCTCTTATTTATTCCTTAGTCATGTCTGAGTAGAGTCTTTGTAGTCTGAATGCAATGGAACTCCATGATAATATTATGTTGATTTGATTAATATGATGAAGTATTTTTCATGTGCTGATTTGAGATTTTCTGAGTTAATTATTTCTATCAAAGAAGTAGTATAGAACATGGATGTTTATATGACTTCTGTATTTGATAATCTCAACATCAGAATTCTAGTACTCAAGGGATTGATGCTAGAGTTCTGATGTAATCTTAAAACCTTAGTATTTCATGCATGTATTAAGAAAGAAATCACCAAGGGATTGGGGTTTCTGATTAATGTTTCTATCAGGGTAGTAAGGGATTACATCTTGATGATAAGTAAAAGGTTGATTAACATCACATGGAAAGGAATTCATCATATGATCAATTTTTATATGGGTTATCATGGAGGAAAGTTGTTTTATGACTACTTGTTGATTTTATTAATTCCTAATCCATATTTACTTTGTGTCAATTTACTTAAAATCAATTTTCTGGTGACAAATTATTCATGATTTTTACAAACTCTTATTTGATTCAAATTAGTTTTCTATGGTATATTGGTGTTTGAACACAATTCCTCGTGGGAACGATCTTTACTCATCATTTTATTACTTGTACGACTAGTGCACTTGCTAAACGTCCAACATATACCAATAGACTTGATGATATTTTTCTCTGTTTTGAACTTTAGGTATCACTATAAAACAAGCACAAAAAACTTGGATTAATGGTATCAATGATTTAGTGGTCAATCTTTTCTCAAATCTACATCATGGTTTAGTAATTATTGAGTTGTTGAGAAAGATTTTACTGATAGTAATGTCAAGAACCTCATTCTAGGGAAAAATTATGTCTGCAATTTGATTGGGAACATGTGTTTTCAAGGTTGGAAGATCTGAAGTATTGCAGTTACAAACATGCTGAAAAACTTGTATTTGGAGCTAGACAAATTGTTTCTTTTTTGGAAAATAAAGGTGGACAAATTTTCTTTTGCAAACAATTCATGTAGGGGGAAAAGTAAAAAAAAAAAACAGAAGATGTTGATAACCTTCTAAGAACAGAAGCCAAAATATATACTCTTGATCAAATCCTTTCAAATAGCTTTATTTAATTTTGACTCTTATTTCTTCATTATTTCATCAATTACCCCACTAATCTGGTTTGACTGAGATTGAGGGTGGAAACAGACACCTGATTCAACTTTCCTAGATGCTTATCACCATAGATAATTGTGATAGACTCGCTAAAAAAAAATTCAAAGAATCAGAAGTGGCCAATAGAAAGGCTATTAGCTAAAAATAGACTCGCTAGTGTAGCTAAAAATACCAAGATATAAATAACAGAAACTATACATAGCTAACATATTTATGGCTCAAGCCAAACCTATATCTCTGAACTTTTTACGTTCTTCCTACAACAACTGGCCACATCACAAAACTCAGGCCTAGGATAAGCAGAAGCCTTTCTGGGAGCATCTGCACTACCTTTGTCAGCTATAGGGCGGCCGTTGGGATGGCCGAGTGCAGAACTGCGTTCGCGATGCTCTTTCTGAAGACAATTTTTTTTCTGCATGTCCTTTGATTCCTGAAGCAGCTCTAATGCTCTTACCACTTCATCCATATTTGGCCTGCTTTTAGGTACTACAGCAAGACATTGCAAAGCAAGTGTGGCTGCTGCTTGAGCTCGAGTATGGGAATATTGTCCCTCAAGACGCGGATCCATTACTCGAAAAACTCGGCGTTTGTTGGATAGGTAAGGTTTGGCCCATTCAACTAGGTTATGTTCTCCAGGTGGTTTGTTATTGTCTATAGCTCGTCTTCCTGATATTATTTCGAGAAGAACTACTCCAAAACTATATACATCACTCTTTGCAGTGAGATGACCTAGCAAAACAAAAAAAATTCCAGTTATGAAAATATAACAGGCATCACTTCCTTGTTTGCATATTAATATGTAAAACTAAAAACTAATTAGGAATACAATACACCAGACATAATACCATACCTGTTGCAAGATACTCCGGTGCCACATATCCACGGGTTCCGATGACCCTAGTAGAGACATGGGTTTTATCACCAGTTGGCCCATCTCTGGCCAACCCAAAATCAGAGAGACATGTGTTCACACTACAGAATTATAAAAACCTACTAATTTCGTACTAATCAACAAAATCCCAACCTACAAATTTCTTACTTATTTTTAAAATTTAAAGTTTGGATTTTTTTTAACCTTGATTCAGTGTAATTCTAAAATTTACAACTTTTGAAAAATAAAAATATTTTCTAAATACTCGAAAGAACCCACTCTACGGTTTGAATGTATAAAAATAATAAATTTGATTAGAACATTTGATCCTTATTTTTGCAGTTTAAAATTTGAATTTTTATTAACCTTGATTAAGTGGAATTCAACAAATTTATGTTTTTTTTCCATAAAAATCGTAATTATAACTACTAAAAAAATCCAAACCTACAATTTACATTTAAATCTAAAAAAAAAGAAAATAAATGGAATTCAAACTTTGGCAAGTTTGCTGATGTGTCGCTTTCTCCTTCACTTTCAGCTTTGTGTTCACATTACAGAATTTGAAAAACCTTTCCTTCTTTGGTAAATCAGTTAATAAAATAAATATAAAACAAAATCAATTATTCAAGATGAATTCGATGGACAAGATTCTTTGATTTAAATCAATGGTCATGATTTGTTGTAAATGTTGGTGGCAGATAGCTCGTTAATGTATATATGATTGCTCTTTTAATTTCCAAATTTGAATTTGAAATTTAACTTGAAATTTTAAATTTGATTTTTGAATTCTGAATGGTGAGAGGCAACTTATTTAATGTTGACAGCCTTACAGGCAACTCATTGGAATTGGTTAGCTGATTCAATTGCTTTTTACATTGGAATTGCTCATCTGAATTTTAAATTTTGAAATGGAATGACTCAGCTGTTTTAATTGCTTTTTACATTGAAATTGTTCATCTGATCAATAAATTCTTTGGTAAATCAGTGAATAAAATAAAATAAATATAAAACAAAATCAATTTTTCAAGATTAATTCGATGGACAAGATTTTTTGATTTAAATCAATGGTCAAGATTTGTTATAAATGTTGGTGGCAGACAACTCATTAATGTATATCTGACTGGTCTTTTAATTTCCAAATTTGAATTTGAAATTTAACTTGAAATTTTAAATTTGATTTTTGAATTCTGAATGGTGAAAGGCAACTTATTTAATGATGACAGCCTTACAGGCAACTCATTGGAATTGGTCAGCTGATTTAAATGCTATTTAAATTGGAATTGCTCATCTAAATTTTAAATTTTGAAATGGATTGACACAGCTATTTTAATTGCTTTTTACATTGAAATTGTTCATCTGATCAATAAATTTGAATTTTGAAATGGTTTCAAATTTTGAATTTAAAATATGGATGGTGGGAAAAGTTTTCGAAAGTTTTGGGTCAGCTAATTTAAAGGAATTCCATTCTTGGGCAAGTTTGCTGAGTTGTCGCTTTCTCCTTCACTTTCAGCTTTGTGTTCACACTATAGAATTATAAAAACCTTTCCTTCTTTGGTAAATCAGTGAATAAAACAAAATAAATATAAAACAATATCAATTTTTCAAGATTAATTCGATGGACAACCTTTTTTGATTTAAATCAATGGTCAAGATTTGTTATAAATATTGGTGGCAGACAACTCATTAATGTATATCTGACAGCTCTTTTAATTTCAAAATTTGAATTTGAATTTTAACTTGAAATTTTAAATTTGATTTTTTAATTATGAATGGTGACAGGCAACTCATTTAAATCTATGGCATCGAAATATGGATTTTTATTATCCTGATTCAGTGGTATTCAAAAAAATTCTTTTGTTTTCCAAAAAAAATAACAAATTTCGTACTTATTTTTAAAATTTAAAGTTCGGATTTTTTTTAACCTTGATTCAGTGTAATTCTAAAATTTACAACTTTTGAAAAATA